CTTTAATATGTTTAGATACATCTCCCCAGATTATCAAATCCACTATTAATAATGACCTAGGACCTAGTTAAAATTCAACCCTGCAAAAACAAAAGCATTACTCATCTCAAACTTCGAACTAGACTATGTTATAGATATAAAATTTAATAATGTAAGTGTTGACTTTGCGGAAAATCATAGGCACTTAGGAGTAGTATCAGATGAAAACTGTAAATGGAGCTCCCATGTTGAGAATATATGCCAAAAAGCATCTAAGCAAATAAGCGTTCTTCGTAAATTGAAATATATATTAAATAGAAAAACTTTAAACAAAATATTTAGATCATACATTCTCCCTCTTTTAGAATACTGTTGTGAAGTATGGGATGGATGTACTCTCGATGATGCAGACAAAATAGAAAAACTTCAGCTAGAGGCTGCAAGGATAATAACTGGATTAATATATAAGTAACTTGGTCATGGGCAAACCAATTTTTAGTACTTTAAGTGTCTGTAGTGAGGATGACACAATCTGAAGTTGTCATTAAGTCACAAATTAATAGGTTTTCTTATTCCCTTATCAGTTTCAATTAAGCTACTTTCATATTCGTTGATTTCCTAGTTAGGAAGAGTTTTTTTTCTGGCTGTTTAAGATGAAGAAATCGAAATATAAAAAAGCTGTAAATAACAACACTGCAATTAATTGGGGAAATTTCAGAAAGGCTAGAAATGAAGTAGTAGACCTTGTTAGAGAAGCTAAACACACTTAATTAACAAAAATTACAACCATCGCTTAGTGACCAATCTGTGCCTCCTAATAAGTGGTGGAAAATTGCTAGATCTGTCATGAATTCAAATAATGTATCAAATTGTCTTCCTCCTCTTTCTGAAAATAATAACTTAATACATCATCCATTTGAAAAAGCAGAATGTCTAAATAAGTACTTCAGCTCAATATCAACTTCTTCTGAAGATCTTGAACCCCTTACCCCAATGAAAATACTTTTCCCTTCCTTCTAGACAATATCATTATATCTGAAGAGGACATCAAAGATCAACTGTGTTTACTTAATGATAAAAAACCTCCTGGCCCAGATGGCATGATACCCAAGATAATAAAGAAATTAGCACCTTCTCTAATATGTCCTCTAACTTTACTTTGTAATAAGACTATTGAATCTGGTATTATACCTCTTTCTTGGAAATCAGCTTATATTAATGCAATATACAAAAGTAAGGGTACTCAAAATGATATCTCTAACTATAGGCCAATATCTATTACATCATGTTTTAGCAAAATTGTTGAAAAAGATATTTTTAAATATATGTTTAATTATATGAAATAATGTGATATCATAACGAAACACCAATCAGGCTTCTTACCTAGAGACTCGACTGTAAACCAGCTATTATCTATATATGACATTATTGTAAATAACTTGGATCAAAATAATGAAATCAGATTTGTATTTTGTGATGTAAGTAAGGCGTTTGATAGACTTTGGCATGAGGGTTTACTTTTTAAATTGGAATCGTATGGCATAAAAGGGAAAATATTACAATGGTTTAGGAATTATCTTTCTGATAGAAAGCAGAGAGTATCAACAGAGGGTTTTTATTCAACTTTTAAGCATGTCAAAGCCGGTGTACCCCAAGGCTCGGTCCTTGGTCCATTTCTTTTCTTAATCTATATTAATGATATAACAGAATGTGTAACAAGTAAAATAAAACTTTTTGCAGATGATACTTCTCTCTATGAAATAATAGACAACAATCAAAATGAAAGTGCAGTGAAATTAAATAATGATCTAGGTAATATTAATGCATGGGCAAAAAAATGGGATATCAAATTTAATTCACTAAAAACTGAATCTGTAATCTTCTCGAGGAAAAGGGAACAAAAGCATCCATATATCTTATTTGGTAATGAAACTGTAACTAATAAACAAACTCATAAGCATCTTGGTTTAACTTTTAGTAGTGATGGAAAATGGACATATCATATTGACAATATTTATGAGCTAGCTTATAAAAGAATGAACATATTGAGAATGTTAAAACACAAATTGGATAGAAAAAGGCTTATAACAATATAAACCTCTTTTATTAGACCAATACTTGAATATGGGGATGTAGTATGGGATAACTGTTGTAACCAAAACAAAAATATTCTTGAGTCAATCCAGCTAGGGGCATTAAGAATTATTACAGGATTGCGTATAGGGACCTCTCATTGTAAGCTTTATGCAGAAACTGGACTTGAATCACTTTGTTGTAGGCGAAAATATCATAAATTAGCACTTATGTTTAAAATGTTAAATAATGAATCGCCTAAGTAGTTAGAAGACATCATTGAACCATAGGTTCACAGTGAAATAGCCGTATTTTCAATCCCCTTTTCTGTAGAACTGAGAATTATTTCAATGGTTATTTTCCCTCAATGTGTAAAGAATTTATTCTTCTATCTGCAGAAACTTTAAATGCTACTTTCCTTCAACAATTTTTTTTTTTTATCAAGTCTGATAATATGAACAACACTGAAGAAATTGCTAGCACATTTAATTACTATGGGCCTAGAAAATTCAATATCATAATTTGTCAGCTGAGAAATCATGCTAGCAACCTAAATAGTTACTTATATATGGATCATCTGAATGACACACCAGCATGTAGATGTGGACATGAAAATGAAAATTCATTTCATTTTATATTTGAATGCCCACTCTATAACAACTTTAGAATGCAATTAGTAATGCAAATTTCTCAATTGGATATAACTGGTAATCATGATCATTTAATCTAAAAACTCTATTAAAGGGATGCTTAATATGAAGCGCTGATATTAACATAATCATTTTACAAAATATATCTGACTACATTTGTCAAACTAATAGGTTTGATATGTAATCTCACACACAGCAAAACTTTACATTGAAAGTGATGCTATTATTTATAGTGTCATGATCACTCTGCTAATAAGTATTGATACTGGTGTATATCTATCTTCACAACATCTCTGGTATTCGGCTGGACTTGATGGAATTTATGAGTGTACTATTTTAACCTGTTCTAACTATTTCTTAGTTACATGAATATTCTATAGTGCTTTGTTAAATAAATTTTAAGAGAATCAACTCCAATAATATATAATAATAACTACATTTTCCTATATGAATCTATATCATATTCTGAAATTTTACAAAATGTTTATTTCTTGGTAACTTATTCTATATATCCAGTGGGTGGATGGCCAATGTGTTTATACACAGGGACTTTTGGGCCTGTATCTCTTGGATTTTATGTAGGATGGGTTGTCAATAAATATACATGATTTAAACAAAAGTTGTAAAATGTTCATTTCACAAGCTAAATTGGAGTTATCTTCCCTGCACTGTTTAAATGGATTGTTATGACAGAATATATGTAATGTTGTAAATAAGTTTGAAAAGGACTTAAATAGGCCTAGCCTGATGTCCAATCCAATTGACATATATAAAGTCAATAAAATCTGATGAAATGAAAGAAATTGAAAACAAACATTTGCTGTGAGCATTGTCTTTGACACTGTCTCCTCAGATGCACACAGTATTGGAAGGGTGCCAGGAAACAGTGTCCGAAGGGTTCTATGTGTTGGACTAACCTGCCTTGATCTTGTATCTACTTGTGAGACATTCCCAAAGGAGGACACAGGGCAAATGTCACGTAATTTATACTCAACACTTTCTGCTAGCCAAAGTAGGGATTTTTATCACGTTTATCAAAAAAATATTACTAGATAATTAATACATTTGAATATTTGAACAAATTATTTTTTGTTAAGAGGCTTTAATAATACATGTACTGTAAGTGTAACTATAGAAAAAGAAAAAATCGTGTGAAAATTAGTTATGCATAACATAAAACATATTTGCTTAATGAAATGCAAATTTAAAAGCTCAGCAATAATTACAGAAAGGTCAACTTGTGAAACTACTTCTTGTAAGAGTGAATGAAATATTTGTAATACTTTGTTAACCATCTAAATTGTTTGGCACACTGTTCTACTGCTGACAGTCCAGTACAGAAATGTAGTTTTGTTGCATTTTCCTCATTCATTCTCTCCTGTTAGTTCATAATCCATAATGAGTTCCACTATCACACCCTGTTTGATAACTCCCTGACTTTAACACAATGGTTACAATGTGGTGTTCATTTTTTTCCTGACCTTTTCCTTCAGCCTTCCCGAAGTCCTTAATAGTACCAGCTCATTTAAAGCCTCCCTCCATACAGCTATATTTAGTTTTCTAGTGGTTTTTAACGTTAATCAATCATAGTTTTAAACGATAGTGTCAATATCATTTTTTGAATTCACAGTAAATTATGCCGCACCTGACCTTCACCACCCTAGCGTTATTTGTATCCACTCCTAGTTTGCCATAAGTCTTGAACTAGACCTAACATTGATTTTGAGATTGTGATACTTAAGTGCAGTTGAGTTTTACCTTGTCTTGTTTTAATCTTTTATTACCATTGCTTGGTCTGGTCTTTTGTTGATGTTGTTCTGGACTTACACGACACTTGCCTTTGATTTGCGTGCTTGTGCTATTATATCTTTGTCATCTTCTCTTGACTATGCCATTTTCATGACTTTGTCTTAGACCAATTGTCTTGCCATGTCTTGATCTTTTGTGCTGACATTGTTTAACAATCTTTGGTGGCACTTTCTTGACCTTCACATGGCATTGTCCTGATCATTTCCTATGTTGTCCCAACATTGTCCTGATCATTTCCAATATTGCCCTTACATTGTCCTGGTCTCATGGCTTTGTCTTGACCTTTCCTTGGCCTTTTCCTGATCATGTCTTCAACGTGCCTCTACTTTGTCTAAATATTTACCTGAAACTTAAAAATGTTAAAACTCTTAACTGTTTACAGTGTCCTATTGAGCATAATATGAGATATGTCGCTTGAAACCATTACTTGGTCAACCTGTGTCACTTCCTTGTTCTGACCTTGATGTGGTGACCTTGACCTGGTTTGTTACAGAGTGTTGGACTACTACTGGCAGAGAGGTGGAAATGCCTCCACAACAAGTACTGTACTGGCAATGCTCGGGGAGAGGTCAGAGTTCATGGGAGCCATGGCAACAGATTTAGAAAGCGAGTATGTCTTTATATTATATATATATATGAAATTCACTAGAAATTAGCGAATTTTTAGAGGTTCTAATTAAAGTTGACAACAACAAAATTATTGACAGTTATGCAAAGCCTAGCAATTCTCATAATTACATAGATTCTTTTCTCTAAACACACTAAAATCAACATGCATTTTGATATAGCTTCTTCATTAATTAATATACTTGGTGATTCAGAAATACAAGATACAAGATACAAGATACAAGAAACTTTATTTAACGTCGCATACAGGTAAACAAGGAACATTAGCTCTCGAGAGCTATTATTGTGACAAACATATGTAAAAATAACAATAACATATTATATAGCAAGTAAAGGGAGATAATCACATATATCAATGATAAAACAGTAATAGTCATCACAGAAAAAGAAAGTATACATATCACAGGTTTCTAAGTGATTGGGAGTCCCCTACCAACAAAGGCCCCCGGGATATATATATATAAATGGTGTTAATATATGAAAAGCATTAAATGTGATCACAGTAGTAGTATTCAGAATAGATAAATAAAAGACATAGTTAATAGTGAATGAATACTTGTATATCACACAAGAATAACTTAGGACTTAGGATTAAAACACTATGAAGTGGAATATACATACAATGCTAATATAGCAAAGAATGAAAATTGACAGAATATACACTATTATAGTGTGAATTAAAAATGTTACCGAAATCAATTAACAAAACAAATAATACAATACAGTGAAAACCTACCATACTATGTTTTGTATAATTTTGTAATTTATACACTTAACTTTCACAACTGTATATATCTCGATGCGTAAGGCTATGAATGCAATTAACATATTTTAAAAAGCAGTGTTCGTCATGAAGTTGTTTACAAACTAACAACTCAATTATGTAAACAGCTCACAAAAGTGATATTTTTGAAAAAAATGCATCTTGACTGGACTTGATCTCTGAGGCAATGTTACGTCAATAGTCTAATGTAAGTGTTTGTGACCAGATATCTCAATGGTCTATGATAAGTGTTTGTAAACAGGTATCTCAGTGGTCTATAGTGAGAGTTTGTAACCAGGGATATCAGTGGTCTGTAGTAAGTTTTGTGTCAAGGTATCGCGGTGAACTATATTTTTTTGTAATCAGGTATCTCAGTTGTCCATAGGTAGTGCGTCTGTTACTGTTCGTGACCAGGTACATGTAACTCAGTGAATTAGACTTAGTGATTGTGACCAGGTATCTCAGTGGTTTATAGTATAATTAGAGTTTGTGACTAGACTATAAATTTCGACCAATCAGAATCCTCTGTATTGTTGCTAATGCAACGAAACTAATGCGTTCTTAATGGAAGCACTGTGTTAAACAATACTGAAAATAAATCTATACTTGATAGTGTTCTAAAATATATATACAACACAAGAAGACTTGTTTAACTAATTAAAACAATCTATAAATTTTGTTATATATAGTCATAAATGATAAAATTACTGTCCTTAAACCATTATGTGATTCTACTGATTGTTATATTTACATTGATGTTTTAATATTATACACCTAAGGGATTAAGCTTTGTATGCTGTTTTTACTGATGGGTGCAATAAAGTAAAACATAAATGTGCTAAGTTTGAATGCTTAGTGTTCTGTGGTTTAATCTGGATTCTTCTCGAGTGGATGATATGTGAACGGTAAAGGCCGTTAGAGACTTTTTGTCTGAAACTCGATGGGATGAAAGATTTACACATAGAACACTGGCAATACATCTTACACATATGCTACATTATCAAAATCTTCTAGCTGAATTGCCTCATTTTATTTTTTTCATATTTTGATGTTGTTGTATCCCTTACTTTTTATCACTCCTACCAATGATATATATATTGATACTAAATGGTTCTATACTTCTAACTACTTCATGCAACAGCAGCAGGGTATGAACAGGGGGCACTAATGACTTGCAAAACAAAAAACAAAAAACAATTGTAGCAATTTCTCTGTTTAATATATCATTAGGGCATTGCACGATTATACATCGTACTGATTACGTATGCAAAGTATAATAGGAATCCCATTAGTAGTTCCTTCGTTTGGGTGACTTAATAAGAAACGGAGTAAAACCAATAAGTCCCCCACTGAGTTGGGGGACTTAATAATAATAATAAACGGAGCAAAAGATCGGATAGTATTGTAGTTTCGTTTTGTTTTACTATATATAGCTTTTTGCTTTAACTATATACATACCACACGTACGAGATAAAAAAGAGTTCGCTGCGCTCACTATAAAGTATTCCTTAAAATAACAGTTCAGCTAAAATGATTTTAGTATTTGCACTGATGAAATTGTTTTGTGACTTTTCAGTTTTCTTAGGGAGAATTTGAAACGTTATGGAGTAAGATTTGATAATGCAATGGTGTGTGAACCTGAAAGTCGTACCCCTGTTTCCATGGTGATTATCAACCAATCGAATGGATCCAGGACTATTCTGCACTGTGCCAAGTAAATAGGATTTCTGTAATATCAATTCACCGTACATTAGTTTATTCCCTGTGTATTTCTTTCAATTTCTTTTTGTGTTTTTCTATTGTTCAAGTGTTCATCGGTTTCCACACACAAAGAATACAAATGTCCATATAATTTTAACAAATAAAATCAATAACTAGAGGACATGTAAAATTGATTAGTATAAACATTTAAAAACGAAATTTTATTCATACATTTCAAACTTGAACACAAGATTAAAATTTGAACCAAAAGGAATATTTTTGCTTAATTTTAACTTCTTTTTCAGTAATTTACCTGAGGTTACTTTTAGTCATTTCCAAACCTTAGATCTGTCGCAGTATAAATGGATTCACATTGAGGTAAAGTTTATTTTTTTTGTTGATATGGAATTATACACTAAGAGGCAATTGATTTCTTTAAAAACAAAAGTTTTAAATCAAACATTTGCATTAATTTAATGTAATGTGACAATTTGTATATATTGTTCTAAAACGGCATATTAAACAATGTCCCCTTATAATTAACATCATATAATAATAATTATATATCATATATAATTCCTATTAAAATCCTGAAATATCCTATTGGCTACTGATAGGCAGTGATATACCTTAACACATTCAGGCGAGACCAGCAGTACAGGCCTACGATCAAATAATGCTTAGAGTGGTGCAATACAATGAGACAGCCGTCGACAAGATCAAAGTGTCACTGGAACTGGAGAAACCTGCACGTCCAGAGCTAGGTTGGTAGAGTTTTCTAAAGGTCTTTTCTGGAATTGGGGTCATCAAAACAATATCAAAGAAAATGACTGCCCAACAGATTCATGTGTGCGAATGCCCCTTCACAATCCTGTAACCTATACCTGTTGGTAGCACATATTTATAGAATTTTTATATGTTTTTATCTTTCTGTCCGTAAGTGTGTCCTGTTTGGTGTTTGTTAGCTCAAGACGAAATTTGTTAGAGAACTTCAAAAAAGTTGAACTTTCATTTGCAATGTGTATGCTTTACGACAATCATATAATTGATAATGACATTATGCACAGATGCATTTTCATCAATGTATCTGTTTTGACACATCACTGAAGTAGAAGTAAATTTCTGTTAATTTAATGACACTACATATATCATGTATTCGTCAATAGAAATTCATTTCATGTATATATTATGTTCTTTCCAGACACTCTCATACGTTATGCAGATGTCGTTTTCATCTCTAAGGAGAAAGCTGCTGAAGACCGTTTGTGTTCTAAAGAGGATGCTGTGCGCGCCTATATAAAAAAATGTAAAGCTGGGTATGTCTATAATTATAAACATTCCGAGCCTAACTTAAAATAAAGCCATTTACTAACAAACCAAATTCTGCAATAAATATATATTTGTACCTAAGATGATGAAAGTTCTATAATCATACGTTTGGTTAAAGTAGAATTACCATGAAGATCCCCTTGCTAAAGTTTGAAGATGACATTGTGATGAAACCTTGTCACTTTAATTAAAATTGTTTTATTTTCGTACAAGGGTTAAAAATAGGAATTTGTTGGAACGGATCTATAGAAGCGAAAGGGCAACCAACCAACCAAACAAATACTGAGATTTAGGGATCTATCTGTCATAGCTGGAACAGTTTAAAAGATTTAAAAGACTTCCCTACTTTGGGCTACAAATGTGCAAGACATGATGTTGTAGAAGTATTCAATAAACAAGTGTTGTCTATGACAGAATGCGTCCGACTCCTCTAAAACATGGCAGTTCAATTTCAAAAGACATAGTACCAGGGTACCTAAACAATTTTAGCTGACAGTTGTCCAATGCTCTATTTCATCTATTGCTTAGTTATGGACAGTTATCGATGTGTATAAAACGTGAATCCTGACAAAAACGTACACGTATAAAACATTAAGGTTTGTTAATTGTCGTCCTGTCGGGGCGAAGGGAATAAAGAGATAAAAATGATACTAACTGTGACAGTTGTTTAATCATAATTTCTTGCTTGGTTAACAACGTTTTTAGTACAAAAGTAATATATAATCTTGTATTCGAATGCGTTATTCCATTACTTTGTAATTTAATGTATACTAAAGTATATGATATGAATGCGTTATTCCATTACTTTGTAATTTAATGTATATTAAAGTATATGATTTGAATGTGTTATTCCATTACTTTGTAATTTAATGTATACTAAAGTATATGATTCGAATGCGTTATTCCATTACTTTGTAATTTAATGTATACTAAAGTATATGATTTGAATGTGTTATTCCATTACTTTGTAATTTAATGTATACTAAAGTATATGATTTGAATTTGTTATTCCATTACTTTGTAATTTAATGTATACTAAAGTATATGATTTGAATGTGTTATTCCATTACTTTGTAATTTAATGTATACTAAAGTATATGATTTGAATTTGTTATTCCATTACTTTGTAATTTAATGTATACTAAAGTATATGATTTGAATGTGTTATTCCATTACTTTGTAATTTAATGTATACTAAAGTATATGATTTGAATGTGTTATTCCATTACTTTGTAATTTAATGTATACTAAAGTATATGATTTGAATTTGTTATTCCATTACTTTGTAATTTAATGTATACTAAAGTATATGATTTGAATTTGTTATTCCATTACTTTGTAATTTAATGTATACTAAAATATTTACATTTGCATGGCATTGTCACTATATAGCCTCTTTGAAAGCTGTGTCGTTGATGGTACTTTAATTACCATGCATCACGAGACACAATTCTTAGCGTATTAATACAACACTGACCGGAACTACAATATCGAATATAAATAAACATGACGGCTGCTGAAATATCGCTGGGCATTGTGAGATTTGACAATGTCATTGTAAATTTATGTGCAAAATAAAAAATAAAATAAAAAACACTTTTATTACAACGAAAACAAGACCAAGGTCTGCAATATCGTACAGAATGCACATCGGTTGAAATCACCAATACCGGCAATGGAAACAATTTTAACGCTCATGCAATTTATCAGAAATATCGTCTGTTACACTGCACTGATCAACAGGGGTTCGTTACAAATGTCTGAAATACACATATTCTATAGACCTACTGACACATATGTTACAAACCTACTGATATGAGTCATAGCACACACATTTGTAACGAACCTGTGCTCCGTCGCAAGATCACTCACTTCAAACGCTATCAGTTTCACGCGTCTCGCATCCTCGGACGGTTCCTCAGTTTCTGACGACATGTCAAATAACGAGTCTGTTATAGAATCTACCGACTGTTGTCAGGTTCCCATACAATCAACAAATAAATTCACGCCTGGATTCTTCACAAAATGAGCAAAGAGAAAAGTTCGAATTAAGTTCCAAAAATAACTCCCTCGTGGAGGGCAAGGTCGGATTTACGGTGTTCACTGTATTTGTCCATGCGCGAAATTTGTTCCGGGGAAAAATCGAAACAATTTCAAATCTAACTTTCATCTCAGAGTTCTATTGGTAACTTAAATCACCCTATAGACATATCATACGCAACTGTATTGATACTGAATTGTGAAATAAAATTGAAGTGTTTGTTAAAATTTCAAAGTACTATTTTGTTTGCCAATCAGCACGCGACAATACGCTGTTCAAACTATTGAACGAAATTGTGTGGACTGTCGATAAGGCTTGCATTTTTAATTTTAAATATAAATTATAAGTTAAAAGAACATAAGAGGCAGAGAAAACGTAAATATAAGTATTGAACTGTTTTTGTATGGCATTTATGATCTATTTGAATGACACAGCTTTGCAAGCAAACAAATCATAACGCGCGCTAGTTCAATGCTTAAATATATGATTTGAATGCGTTATTCCATTACTTTGTAATTTAATGTATACTAAAGTATATGCTTTGAATGCGTGGCTCTAGTAATTCGTACTTAATGTATAATAATGGAATATGTCCATGTTGTTGACAGAGCCGTGGTGGTCTGTGCCTGGGGTGACGAGGGAGCGGCCGCCCTAACTGGAGACGGCCTCCTATGTACCAGTCCTGTGTTTCCCCCGGACACACTGGTGGACACTCTGGGCGCCGGGGATACCTTCAATGCTGCTACTGTGTTTGCTCTGTGTCAAGGTCAGAGTGTGCAGGAGGCCATTAGCCTGGGATGTAAAGTGGCCGGGACTAAATGTGGGATGAAGGGCAACAATGGACTGAGGGATATTATATGGTAGTGGATCTGGTTTGTATGTGTGGTCTAGGTTTGAATATCATAAAGTGTAATTATCTATAATTTATTATAAAAACTGATCAGGATCTGACGAAGAAAGTTTTCTAACTAGACTTTACTGGAGATATTCCAAACCGTTTCACATCGAAGTGAGCTTAGACACTTAGAAAAGAAACAACAGTTTAAGCAGATTCAGTAACCGGGGGGAAAGAGCAACAGTGAGCGTTCGAACAATTGAAGGCTTACCAACATCACCACCTGTTCTGGGATATGCAGACTGTTTACTTCCCTTTGAAGTACACACAGATGCCAGTGCCAAGGGACCATTTCATATCAGGAACAGAAGGGAAAGAAGAAGGTCATTAGCTATGCTAGCAGAGGGTTAAACAAGGCTGAACGGAAGTACCCGGCTCATAAATTAGAGTTCCTGGCAATGAAGTGGGCAAGCAATAACAGAAACGTTCACAGATTACCTTTACGGAAATCGCTTCACTGTTGTTACTGACAACAATCCAATTACTTATATGTCCTTACGACAGCGAAACTGGATGTCACAGGACACCGTTGGCTAGCCGCGCTGTCATCAGCATGTCCTGTAATCGTCACACTGTAAAGTCTCCTCCTGTAATCGTCACAATGTACAGCCCCGTCATATAATCGTCACAATGTACAGCCCCGTCCTGTAATCGTCACAATGTACATGTGGTGGGGGTGGGGTTTATCTCCCATCTGGGGAATCATCACAGACTACGACGGACTTTGTTTCCACCATTTATTTAAAACAACAGCAACCGTAGCACAAACAAGACGTAACATAGAAAACACCCTACAATGACACAATAACACACATATAAGAGACTGACCCAATGTTTCACTGAAATATTACATTATACACCATACAATGTATTTATAAAGTATAAAACCTATCAAACTCANCAATGTTTCACTGAAATATTACATTATACACCATACAATGTATTTATAAAGTATAAAACCTATCAAACTCATTATATTTATTATCTGTAATTATACGGTAATTAATACTATATAATTTAGCTCCGTCACATATTCCATTATTATAGTGGCATTACTTGTAAAACTATGTGGCTCTATGGCCTATTTAATTGACTAATTAAATACTATCAATAATATACAATATCTGAAATACATTTTATCATTAATTACATTACCTTAATTAAACGTGAACTTACTCTATCATTCCGACAGGGGCTAGCTCCGTGCTTGTACACTACGTATACACAGGTCACTACACAGGTCTAACAGAATTCCATTTCACAATATTTCCTTATTATAACACATATGTAACACCCCAACTCATACCTGGTTCTCTTCTAAATCCTGGTATCAAAATGTTACACCCAGCATGGCTGCCATTTTCTTGCACACAGAGGTAGAAAGCATGCAGGTGAGTGATACAGTGAGGTGGCAGTCACATGACCAACAGGTACTTTACATAGGTCACAGGTCACAGGCCAGGTAAACATACACAGAAGCACATGGGACTGTTGACATCTGAACACATGGACAATGTTACCTACATGACAGTACCATACACCACTATACCATACAACCTATGACATGATTACTTTAAACATTACTGTCACACTTGATATACTATACACATATTATGGACATTACCTAATGGTGGGAGTTATATATTTTGTATGTATTTCTGTAAAAAACATGTAGTTAAAACTGTGAAACACCAGACAGGCTGTCTCCGCCACATACAGCCCCGTCCTGTAATCGTCACAATGTACAGTCCCGTTCTGTTATCGTCACACTGTACAGTCTCCTCCTGTAATCTTCACAATGTACAGTCCCGTCCTGTAATAGTCAAAATGTACAGTCCCGTCCTGTTATCGTCAAACTGTACAGTCCCGTCCTGTCATAGTCACAATGTAAAGTCCCGTCATGTAATCGTCACAATGTACAGTCCCGTCATGTAATCATCATACTGTACAGTCCCGTCCTGTAATCGTCACAATGAACTGACCCATCATGTAATCGTCACAATGTACAGTCTCGTTCTGTTATCGTCACACTGTACAGTCCCGTCCTGTTATCGTCACAATGTACAGTCCCGTCCTGTAATCGTCACAATGTACAGTCTCGTTCTGTTATCGTCACACTGGACAGTCCCGTCCTGTTATCGTCACAATGTACAGCCCCGTTCTAAAATAGTCACCATGTACAGTCCTGTCCTGTTATCGTCACAATGTACAGTCCCTTCCTGTTATCGTCACAATGTACAGTCCCGTCATGTAATCGTCACAACGTACAGCCCCGTCATGTAATCGTCACAATGTACAGTCTCGTTCTGTTATCGTCACACTGGACAGTCCCGTCCTGTTATCGTCACAATGTATAGTCCTTTCCTGTTATCGTCACAATGTACAGTCCCGTCATGTAATCGTCACAATGTACAGCCCCGTCATGTAATCGTCACAATGTACAGTCCTTTCCTGTTATCGTCACAATGTACAGTCCTTTCCTGTTATCGTCACAATGTACAGCCCCGTTCTAAAATAGTCACCATGTACAGTCCCGTCCTGTTATCGTCACAATGTACAGTCCTTTCCTGTTATCGTCACAATGTACATTCCCGTCCTGTAATCGTCACAATGTACAGTCCCGCCCTGTATTCGTCACACTGTACATTCCCGTCCTGTAATCGTCACACTGTTCAGTCCCGTCCTGTAAACGTCACACTGTACAGTCAATCGTTAATTAAGTCTTCATAAAGAGAATCTGTCGACGTATGATATTATTTTCAGATGTGAAAATATGTTTGTCATTTTACGGCCCCTTTACAGAACGGATAGATTATATTACTTAAAATGGTTTCAAAAATACTGTTGTATGAATTTCTATGGTATTTTTCAAATTGTTAGAGTTTGCAAAGAACTGACACCAGACCGATTCTTCGAGTTTTGACAAAATTTATTCTGCTAGATTTTATTTTGTCTAGAAATGTAAATAACTTGAAAAAGTAAACAACTTTTTAAATACGGGTTTCCTGCCTTTTTGCGATTTTCAAAATAAGCTGTCGACATTTATACATGCATTAAATATCGTTAAAGAAATCATTCTTTTAGTTTTGTTTTCTTTGAATAATTTCCATATAAGCCCTTACTTTACTTTAAAATCTCCAACTGTTTACTACGGTGGCTGATATGTGCCATCTCGTTGTTTCGTCTTTTC